GGGAATAGCAATCACAATAACGTCTTTGATTGCATTTGAACATTAATTTAGTTAACCCAACCCAAACTACTGATTTTTCTAGGGGTTTTCCCTGCACACATACCGGGGCCTCATTTTCCCCTGATTCAGATTGGACTCACTTTAAACAAAGTGTCATCTTCGTCATCATCATTATCATCATCATCATCATCATTATCATCATAATTCTTTTATATTTTTTCTGGGCATCCAGGTAAACTAAGTTTCCGCGGTATGACCCCGAAGCCCTGTAAAATCAACCACATTCAACAACATTGTGCCCCTTCCCCACTCTTTTACAAAAAAGCTGGATAGCCCTTGAATGTTAATGCTCTGTCTTTATCACCTGTTAGATCTGTACATGGAGATACCACAAGGTCTGTCTGACATAATTTTATTGACTAAAATTATAGTGTAATTGCTATAAGGTCTACCAGAAGAAAACACAGGATTTTAAAACTTTTTAACAATTATTCAAGTGATAGAGCGTGATAAATAATTTAATATGCTTCATACTGAATTTAGTAAGTGCAAATTAAGCAGTATGTTTTTCGAAACTCGGCGTTATTTGTGTAGGCATTAATAGGAGGCCTACTGTATTTCCAAATATAATTCATAGCATATTATATCATGTGTATTCATGAACTTGGTTTATTTAATTTATTTCATATTGTTAATATTTCACAATAACCTGCAAGTCATGTAAATATAATTACAGTTATAATCATTGTTATTCCTTGTACATATTCGTGTTTCTTACACTTTATTTATTCATTGAGGAATAAGCAACTTAATTAAATTTAGAACAATATATCATTTTCGCAGTAGGGCCTACATTTGTCTTATTCCCATGATTTAAAATAATCTTACGAATTGTAATTTGTTCAACCACACTCTGTGTGCAGATATACCATATTTCCAACATAAACTCTCTCCGTGCTAACTTTATTTCTTATGGGTCCCTTGAGGGGATGGGCTAGCGGCCTTACTTAATTGTCAGCATTTATTTCCGGGAATTCAGAGTTGCAAAAAAGTTGTTCAACAACCATGGTGGAGTTGTAGTGGATGCTCTTAGACCCCACTAATTTTTACAGCAAAATTTTGTAAGTCGACCCGAGAAAATTAGTAATGTGGATTTATTGGATAGAACAAAACAACATCCAGTAAAAAACGATATTGGCAGAAGGAAATGGTCATGGGTTGGACACACCTTAAGAAAACCTACATCCAGCATCACCAGACAGGCTCTTACATGGAACCAGCAAGGTAAACGGAGAAGAGGACGTCCAAAAAACACCTGGCGAAGAGACCTACAAGCAGACATCAGGAGGACGGGCTATACCTGGAGAGAACTGGAGGTGAAAGCAAAGGAGAGAGGACTCTGGAGAGAAATCATCGACGGCCTATACCCCTTGGGGTGACGGGCTTAAAAAAAAAGTCATCAGAGAGTATAACTGCAAGAGGTCCGACTGCACTTATTTTGTATGCAGGCAATGGAACGACGTTTTAAAAAGTACTACTACAAAAGAGCGTGTCCCCATGGAGCTATTAAACAACAGTGCTGACAAGATGGCGGAGTAATGCAGAGTTATGTATATGTACCATCCAAGATGGCCGTCGTAGTAAAGCGCCACCTTCAGGCTTAGTATACATATGTAACCATAAATAAGCCCTCTGACTGACTACTATTTCATTAATGATAACGAGTAATGGTAATAACAAATTATTAAACTATCGTAGCCAAAACGAGGCCAAGTGGAGCACCTTTCAAAAATAAAGTATCAAGGAATGAAAATTAAAATCGTGTTCATTACACCTATACACCACAACGCTCGAGTTTCAAACATACGGGTAACTAGCTGGACTGAACCTTCTGTGTAAATTGAGGGCGCAGTTGCAAATGATGGTGATTAGGCGAAATTTGATTGGCTGAATCTATGAAAGCCTTCTTGGATGGTACACACACACACACGCATACACACCCACACACACAGCTCTGCGTATTTCGAACATCGAATACATTGCAGTTAGCGCTCTAGTATTCTTACTAGACTAGGTGGATAAACCCGGCTCAACTTACCGGGTTTATCCACCTGCCAGTCTGAACTAGGTGGCTTATCTCAAGCCGGGCTGTGTTCCTATAGTAACTAGGCCTGGCGTGCCACCGTGTTTAACTTTTCGGGCTTTAATCGTTGCGGGGGTCTTGCATTGACTTCGGGTGACGAACTGACCAATCAGCATTCAATTACGTACGCTGTGAGCGAGCGCACGTTTCGCGAGCAATGTTTTGAAACACGTTTCCTGGTTACGGTTCATTATTATGCAAAATTCTCGCCTGGCTAAACCCGCTAGTCTGAACGCCCGGCAAAGTTAAGCCGGGCTTAACGTTGAGCCGGGCTTAAAGCCCCATTCCCGGCAAAATTTCACTAAAAATGACTTTTTTTTTAGAAAATATGCATTTGCATTACTCCAATTATTATAAATCATGGAAAAATATTGGCATGAATTTTAGTTTTACGCAAAAGAATAA